AATTCTCTCTTCAGTACTGTCTGTTCTTGGTCATATGCTACCCATCTTGGTTCTGTGTATTTCTTCCAGATATTTTGAATGTTTTATGCATAGTTTCATATTTTGTTCATAGAATCCTTCAGTATTGCAACTTCAAGCTTGTTTGTTGTGATTGAATGAAAAGTAACATCAAAATTCTTTTCCATTCAAAAATTCACATGCATTTTTATTCAAAACATTGATTGCAGTCCCTCGAATGTAACTCCACTCTTTCCACTTCTCCTCTGTATTTACCACTTGTCTTTCTTTCCGATTCCATCCTGCCTTCTGAGCAGTTTGCTTGTTCATCTCACATGACTGATTTCTGTAAGGAGTGCATCCCATTCTGGAGCTATTGCTCACTTTAAAGGTCTCTCTATAGTTTGTCTGAAAGTTGAGCCACTGATTGAAGTTAGGTTCCAGGCCTGAAGAATAGCTAAAGGCCATTGTTTCAAGGTTTAGGGTTTATACTGCTGTCTACTAGAGCAGTAGTTATAACAGGATATTCCTACACATGTAGTTATATATGCTGCAAATGTATCTGTGGGTGCAGTAAGCATAGATAGGGGAGAGTTACAAAAATGTCTTAGCTGTAACCAAATACTTAGAGAGAATGAGTTGCCAAGTCTGGTGACCCAGGAGACATCCAGATAAACTGGCATTTGTCTTATAGTATTGACTGCAGTCAGAATTGATTCAATTTTAGTGAGTTTCTTTTTGAATGTATGCTTTATATACTTCCCCCAAGTACTGTATTAGTTACATCCTACATGTTTTATATGCCATATTCATTTTATATCATGATATGACATTCTAATTTTATTTCATATGGCATTCTAATTTTTAAATTTTGTATTATGTATGAGTTAGGTAGGGGGTTAACATAGCAGACCATCAACTCTGCTTATCAGATAGAGCAGACATCAAGACATGAAAAATATCAATACAACTATAACTATTTTAATGCATATACATCTAACGACACAGCCCCAAACATACAAACTAAGCACTAATATTATTGAAAGGTGAAACAGGCAATTTGACCATGGTGGTTGAGTATTTCCATACCTCACTATTAATAACTGACTGAACACCTACAGATTATGGTACATAAAATCTTAACAACACTAATAACCAAATTAACTTGGCATTTATAATTCACTCCACCCAATTGCAACTGAATATACTTAATTTTCAAGCTACATAGAATATTCTATTCTATAGGATATACCATATGCTAGGCCATAAAAAAGTCTCAATGATTTAGAAGGATTTAAGGAATTTATCCAGCACCAATGAAATTAAATAAATCCACACAAGAATACATTTGGGGGGATATGTGCCATATTGATAAATAAAACAGCCATATATCCAAACGATAAGAAGTCTAAGATTTTTCCCTACTTGCAAGCTAAGAAGTTTGCCTACAATAGTTTCATGGGTGCTAGCAGAGAACAGCAGACCCCTAAAGCAGTTCATGACAAAAATAGCACTAATCATTTTTAAGTCAGCTTCTAAAGCCCCAGTTCTAGCAGGTACCATATTAGAGGGCCAGGGGACATACAATTTCATGCAGAGAGCTTCATGGCAAGAGAGGAAACTGGGGGTTAGGAGACATGAATCTTTTATAATGGGTGGTAAGAATGGATGCCCACTGCTATGGGGTAATACAATATCTCTACCTTCCAAAGTTGTTCATGATACAAGCACGCTTTAAAAAGTAGACCAGAACAAAGGCAATCAAATCCCCTCCTGGGAAGATCCACAGGGGTATGAGAGTTCTATGACAAAGTGCCTCTCCACACAAACTTCTAAATAAATAATGGAACAACTGGACCACAGAGGAAACGGGAGCTTTAGTTTTGAGATGGAATGGAATGGAGAGAGCAAGGTGTGCAAATCACGGGCTGCAACAAAAGTAGTGGATGGAGCAAATCCGGAGCTTTTAACACTTCGTAGTGAGGCAAGAGAAAGGACCTCAACGAATTAACTAAGCTTTCCCAACAGGACACTAGAGAAAGACCCAAGTAAACTCAGAGAAAAGATACACTTACCCATCACTTGCCGACTATCTATTACCATTATTCAGCATTTTGCATTCACGACAACCGTAAAAATCTTTAATTGTCTTAAAGTCAGGTAAGGACCCATGTGTCCTGAACCCCAAGTCCTGGATCCCTCTCTCTCCAATCTTGGATGCAAATACACTCAGAGTGGGGCAGAAAAGCCAGCAGGTGGGATTGGGCCATTCATCTGCACGTATGCTTTATGACATTCTTGAATCGGAGTTGAGCCCACAAACTTTATCAGAGGTAGGTAAAGTGATTGCCCACCACTTTATCAGAGGTAGGACTTCAATTCAGGAGGCCGTGAGAAGGCAACAGAGAGCCCAGTTTTGGACATGCAGCAGTCACTGCTACTTAGACCCTGCCATCCACTGTTTGCTCATTTGGGGCACTGGGGCCAAAGAGCAGTAGTTCTGAGTCTGTACATATTTTCATGGTGAGTAATAACTAAATGCGGGTAGAGGAGGTGTAGCTTCCCTCCTGGCTGTAAATCTAAGCCAGATCAGCAATTCTGTGGTTTTAAACATCACATTCTGACTCAAAATACAGAAATCAGGGCATGGAGACAAGCGAGCTGGTAAGAGAAGTTGTAGAGCCATTGGGCCACCTCTGAAATGACACTTGTAGCCTAAACACAATTGCCCCATAACAACCTGGATTTTGGAACCTAAGGGAGGTGTGGGTGTATAATAAATATATGGTTGGAGACCAATGAAACAGATAACAGATCATCTTTAGGGGGTGAAAAAAGTCTACAAAATCCAATTTGGGTCGTAGAAAAGGTCAAAAAAATTGACAGTGCTTAAGTTAGACTGATCAAAAATGGAAAAATAGGAAAATGATAACATCAGGAAAGAATGAACATCATTGCCAACACTCCCGAGATTAAAATGATTATAAGAAAATTCAAAAAGCAACCTAATGCCAACAAACTGTACAACTTGGATAGAACTGCCAAATTCCGATAGACACGGATTGCCTAGCATGACATAAATCACCTAAACTCATTCAGAAAAATTAGAAAAGCCAAATAATATACAACAATTTAAAATTGTGAATTGGTGAAAACACTTTAACCAAAAATAGGCCTTTAAGTCTTCCTAAGGGGCTGATTAAGGGTTTATTTCTTTGTTTAAAGTTTAAGATTATTTCAAGGCAACCGTTTCAGGGTTTCATCTGGCCTTCCAGAATACCTCTATTCCATGAAAACCAGCTCGTTGAGCCTTCTTAGGAATCCTGGTCATGTAGCGGGTGAACTGGGCTGCTACCTGGAAGCTCAGGAGTTCAAACCATCAGCCACTCTGAAGGAGAAGATGAACCTTTCTACTGCCCCAAAAGATTTACATTCTTGGAAACCCAAGGAGCACTGTCCAAAAGGGTCACTATGAAGCAGAATTGACTTGCTATCATTGAGTTTGAAAAGTCCTCTTAAAACTAGCTATTAATTAGTAAAGAATATCTTCTTTGAGCATTATACTTTTACCTATATGGTACCAAATTGACAAGAGCAAATGGAAAAATTATATAGGAAATTTAGGGGTTAGTGAGTTTGTATGACTTTCCAAACCAAAGCCATTGCCATTGAATCAAGGTTGATTCATAGCAACCTTTACAGGACAGAGTAGAACTGCCCCCAGGGGTTTCACGAGACCGTCACTGTTGATGGGGATAGAAAGCCCCTTCTCTCTCCCTTGGAGCAGCTGACTGCTGACTTTCCCCCATCACGGCCAGATCCGTAAAGACTCTGCCTCCAGAGGGCCTTAGGTGTTCATTAGGCAGGGACAACTCAGAAGGGGGGGTGGGGGAAGAGTTACTCAACTCAAAATATGGAATCCATATCACTTGTTGGTATTCTCAAAAATAACAATTAAAGCACGCGACTTTTTCAATGTATTTACAATTTCAAAAATGAAAACCAGTAAGAACAAGTAGTGGCAAAATCCTAGAGAAGCTAGAAGTCTCGCACATTTCTAATGGACTTAGCCTAATTGCATTGGCAAACCATTTGACAGTTTTTTAATACGTTAAATATAAATTCACAGTATGACCCATCAATTCAACTCTCTACTCGAGATTTACAAATAAATGTTCATAGCCATCTTATTTATTCCGTTCATTAGCAAATAACACTAAAGGTGGCACTGTCACAGAGTGGAATACAAGTCAGCGATAAAAAAGGAATGGAAACCTGACTGATACATGTCCCATAAGCCAAAGAAACCAGGCGCAAAAAAAAAATGACATGGCAGGACGTCCTTTATTTGAAATGTCCAGAAAGGGCAAATCTATCGAGATGGAAAGCACAGCCCTACTTGCCTAGGTCTGAAAGTGGGAGGAGAGATTGCCTGTAGCCAGGCAAGCAGGAAACTTTGGAGGTGGTAGAACGCTCTTCAAACTGGCTTGTGCTGATAGCTCCTTAATTTGCTAGACATTGAATTGTCTGTGTATACGTGAAACATGGTCCCCACTGTCAATCAGACTGTCCAAGGAACTGCCCAAATATGTGTTCATTGGTGCTATTCTAGATAAATTATGAAAACTGCTGTTGACCTACTTATAGCTATCTTTACAGAAGCAAATAAACAAATAAATAAATAAATAAAACCCTAGAGAGTGAGGGAATACAAAAACATCGATAAGCTCTAAGATATAAAAGCAATGAGGAACTCTAGCCTAAGTGTCTTTTCTAACTAGAATACTGTGGGGTCTCACAAATAATCCATAGTCATATGTAAACTTATCCTAACTCTCACTTCTTAAGTTTATCTAAGAACTCTAGTTCCCTAGCCTGGCTATATTTTTTGTTTGTTTTAAAGGTGTACGTAGACCTTTACACCACATTAACGCTATTTCCTGGCTTTTACTGTATCTACCAACAAGTAACAGCATTAAACAAGCATATAAATATATACTTACCAAAAGAAAGGTCCGGATTGTTCTTATTTTGTTAAGCTCAAGAAGCAATTTTTGTGCCTTCTCATGGTTGCTACAATACTCATCATAGATACGAAACTTGTCTTTCTGTGAATTCAAGTAAGAAGAAAAATCTAATCATTATACTACCCATGAAATTGTCATCTCTGTGAGGTTCAAAAAACTTTATTATGTGTTCACTGTTTCAAGACCTATACTGTGTGCAAAATTTTAAATATGTTTATGTTCTCTGGTCTCTGAAGAATAATATCTTTAAATGGAAAGAGATACATAATTATAGTCCAGTTGGATACAGGCAAGGAGTAGCAACACAGGGAATGTACTTGGTACTCAAATTTATCTTGTCAACATGATCCAAATATGGCCTGAAAGGGGAACTGACCCCTGAGGAAGGTCCACAGAGATGAGGAGGTGCCTCCACGATCTACAGGCAGAGAGAGGGAAGAAGGTGACTTTGAGCTGAGGGAAAACACTCGTCAGATCCCAGTGGAACAGAGGGATACAGCACCTGAGACGTCATATGCGGCCATCTGAATTATCAGGAAGAGGGACACTGACAAATCAGAAGCGAATCAAAAGGGGGTAAAGGTGACAAAGACAATCAGATACTTTAGTCAAGAGACTACAAGAGAGCATTTCAGAGAGATCAATGCTAGTTTAAAAAGCAAAGGCATAGTAGCTAGTTTCAAACAGCTGTCTGATTGTAAAGGATTAGCAATCCTATATAGCTCCAAAACACAAAACTTGGACAATTCGGTGTAAATTTCCAGTGCAGTGATAGACAGACTCAAGATTTATAGGCAAATGGACACACACTGAACGTGCTTCATAGTGAAACACAGGAGACGGTTTCAAAAAGGATTTCACTCTCCTGGTCCCTAACTACCTTCCATTCGTTAAGATTTCCCCAGAGTGGTTATGATCACTATTGACCAAAGCAGTGCCCATAAAAGGGGGGAAAACTGATCTCCTGTTAGACAAAGGGTATCCTTGGAGAAAAAATTAAGTGTTATCTTAGATAGATGGTAAAGAATGTACTGAGTCACTTATCTGAAGACCCAGAAGAAAGCAAACTTCAAAGACAGCTTAGCTAAATTCATGGACGACAGATTCATAAAGTGTTACTCTGGAAATGGATGCCAGGGTGCAAAATTCCCCTGTGTAGCCTCTGGACTGAACTAGCACCTACTCCAAGTGGCAGGACATTCCAGGTCTTTCTTTAAAGGGAACAGAATCCAGTTAGTAGACACATCCATGGCTAGCTTACAGCCAAGCTCAAGAAAAATATAGCTTGATCTTCCTATGCCCAAGGGGCTTCTTTCCACTTTTGATACAGGCAGCTTTACAGATTATTTTCCAACTATTAAATGAGCATACACAGATTCCTACATGTATATAGCTTCCTACATACTTAAATACGAATATCTTTATAAAAACTAAATGAAAAAAATTTAAATGTGTGATCTGTGACACTATTCTATAGTACACTTCAAAACAGAACGTTAATTGTGTAGTGCGTTGACAAATAAATGCACTTAAATTGGTATTCTAAAGACTAGCCATCACTGTCATAGTACTCTCAATAGCAGTCATTCTTTTATTTTTATTTTTTGGACTTACCAGATGGCTTTTTACTTTCCATATATATTACATAATCAATTCCATCTAGCATATAAAAAGACATGAAAATAGTCACCCAAGTAGGGATAAGAGATTTGAATTAAATGATATCTGCAAAGGCGTACTGGCTGATTATTCTACACTACTGAGTACAGCCTTCCGCGTAATCATCTATTCCTGAACAGGAATTCAGCTATGGGCCGAAGCGCACCTAAAATCCCTCATTTCGCACACCTATGTGTCTGTCGAAAGAAAACATTCGAAGAGGGTCAGCGCACCATAAAAAGATCATGACTTGCAGCCCCCCCAAAAAATCTTCTGAGTTTGAGGGACCCATAAATATTCACTCATTATAAACAGCCTGAATATTCATTAGAATTCAAAGCTAGATATGACAGAAGGACTAATGTGTTGGGAAAAAGAAAGGGCTGCTTATTCTCCACTGAATAAAATGGATGCTGTGAGGCATTCTTCCACTTCCTGGCTCTAAATAGATTTGCAGTGGCCTTAAAAGGCCCCAGACTATTGGTGTGTCAAGTTTAACTTCTAACGTGAAAGCCCCACACACTGCTATGCCAAAAGCTAAACCTTAACACACAGGGGGACCGAGGTTGTAAGATAATTATAAAATTGTATCTTACGAAGTGTAGAAAGCAGGTCCCAACTTCTTGCTGCGCATTAGGTTCAGGTTGCAAGCATTCTTCGACAACGTTTAAAAATTCTTTATGTACAGCCAGGATGTCTTCAATGTTGGAGAAGAGCATCTGTAAGTGAACGCAGGCATACGTGAGCACTCGAGGGAAGCGAGGGAAAGAAAAGAAATTCCAGGGGAGAATTACCCCCCTCTCCTCTGAAAACAGCATCTGTGGCTTCTGATCCCACCGAGTAGACTCCGACTCCGGACAAAGCCATGTGTGTCAGAGTAGAACTGTGCTCCACAGTTTCCAACAGCTGGCTTTTCCCAAGTAGATCTTTCTGAAAGTGGGCCTTTCTTCCAAAGGGTCTCTGGATGAACCTGAACCTTCAGCTGTCAGTTAGCATGTGAACCGACTGTACCACGCAGGTACCCTCCGTGGTTATCCACTCACATGTGCCCCACCCTCCTCTTACTGCACACGAGTCTAGAACCTGGCTCCCAGGGAAATCCCTAATGGGCCGAGACCAAGCACGGTCGTCCCACCCCCTTTGCCTAAGAAGACTACAGGTAAGACTGTGGGGGCATATTTGATGGGACAATTCAGGAAAAAAGACTTTTGTTGCTCTGAAAGACACCCTAGCATAGGTGGCCCTTTTCTCCCTCTGGAAGGTGCAGAAAGTGGAAGTAAAGCTGGGACAGACTCAGGCTTCAGACCCGAAGGAGCTGGCCCAGAAGCAGAGCTGATTCCCGGACAGGGGATGGAACTGCTACAGAATACCAACCAATCTGCGGAGCCTCACTGAGTCCCCACTTCTGAAACTTCTCTTCTGCCCAGAATTCCTACTACACGAACTAAAGTATCGTCAAGTCAATTTGAGCAACAACATTTCCTTTATTCATGCAAAATGCACCCTAACTAAAAAGTTCCCATTAGGGGAGAATTTGAAAATTATTCACTAATCTGAGTGGGAAAGACATAGCATCCACAAATATCAGATCCCACAAAATCACTAAAAATATGAATATTTCAACAAGTCTATGGGAAGTACCTATTATATTTTCCCATAGACCTTTTAATGCCAATTTTCATATTTTGCTTTTCGTGTAAAAGTAAGTTGGTATGAAAAATAAATATCAATATGAATATTTACATCTGGGATAAATAATAACGATTATTGTGCCATTCATTTTCACTTGTTGTTCTCTTGAAGTGCCTTTGGGTCAGTTACAACGCACAGCGACCCTATGTACAACAGAACAAAACCATGCCTGGTCTGGTACCAGCCCCACAAATGCTGTCTCAGCTCACTGACGGCCGCCGCTGTGTCAATGTAGCTCACTGAGACGGTTCCTCATTTTTGCTGACAATGTCCTTTTCCAGGGACTGGCTTCTTCTGATGACATCTCCAAACGCTCTCGGAAGGCTCACCATCCTGACTTCTGAGGAGGATTTTGGCTTGACTTCTTCCCAAGATAGATTTGCTCAATCTCCTAGCGGTCCACAGTGCTTTCAATATCCGTCAGTGAAACTGTAATTCAAATGCACCAACCCTCCTGCAGACGTCCGTATACAGTGCACAGCGTCCACATGCGCAGCTGTCATATGAGGCTGTTGAAAATAGCCTGGCATGAATCAGGCACATCTTAGCCCTCCAAGTGATGACCTTGTTCTTCAACACTTTAAAGAGGGTTTGTGCAGCAGACTTGCCCAGTGTGGTATGTTCTTTGATTCAGTGACTCCCCTTTCCATGAGGGTTCATTGTAGATCCAAGTAAAATGAAACACTGACAACTTACAGTTTGTTCTTGATCATGGTGTTGTCCATTGGTCCAGCTGTAAGGATTCTGATTTGCTTTACATTGAGTTACAATTCATACTGAAGGCTGTGGTTTTCAAAAAAAATGTTTCATCAGCAAGTGTTTCAAGTCTGCTTTGCTTTCAGCAAACAAAGCTGTGGCCTCTGCATATTCAGATTGTTACAAAGCCTTCCTTCAACCCTGATTCCTTCTTCCTCAGAGAGGCCAGTCTCTCGTCATTCACTCAGCATGCAGATTGCATAAGTAGGGTGCAAGGATACAATCCTGACCCACACTTTCCCTGATTTTAAACCATGCACGTGCAGTATTAACTCCTTCTTTTCTGTATGAACAGCTATGTCTTGGTCTCGGTACAGTTCTCATGACAACATGAAGTGTTCTCGAAGTCCCCTTTTTCAATCAATATTCAAACCATAGTTCATTGTGATATACATCATCTAATGCCTTTGCAAAGTGAATAAAGCAGAACTATAAATATCTTTCTAGTACTTTTTGCTTTCAGCCAAGAGCCATCTGATAGCAACAGTGATATCCCTAGTTCCAAGTACTGTTCTAAATCCAGCTGGAATTTCTGGCAGCTCCATGTCAATGTACTGCTGCAGCCATTGTTGAATGATCTTCTGCAAAATCATACTAGTAGGTGTATTAAGTATATTGTCCAAACATTTTTGCGTCCTGTTGAGTCACTGTTCTTTGGAAAGGGCACAGATATGGGATCTCTTCCGCTCAGTTAACCAGGTAGCTGTCTCCCAGACTTCTTGGCATAGACAAATGACTACTTCTATGGCTTCAACAGCTTTTGAAACATTTCCATTGATAATCCATCAACTCCTGGTACCTTGTTTTTCACTAATGCCTTGAGTGACGCTTGGACTTCTTCCTCCAATACTATTCATTCTTGATCATATGCCACCCCTTGAAATGGTAGAATGTCAATCAATTATCTTTGGTACAGTGACTCTGTGTATTCTTTAATCTTTGTCTAATGCTTCCTGCATAGTTCTATATTTTTCCATAAAATTCTCCAGTATTCCAACGCAAGGCTTGAATTTTAACTCAGCTTATGATACACTGAGCATATTCCTCTCCTTTAGTACCCCAACTCCAGGTCTTTGCACGTTTCATTTAATATTTTACTCTGTCTTTTCAATCTGCCCTTTGAATATTTCTGTTCAGCTGTTTTACTTATTATTTCTTCCATTTGCTTCAGCTAGTCAATAATCAAAAGTACATTTCCAAGACTTTTCTGAATCCACTTTGGTCTTTTCTTGCTTTCTTGTCATTTTAGTGAACTTTTGCTTTCCTCCGGTATGAAGTTCTTAATGTCATCCTACAATTGGCCTTGTTTTCTGTCATTAGTATTCAATCTGTTCTTAAGATGGTCTCTAAATTCATGGAGGATGTAATCAAGGTCAGAATTTGGCTCTTGTTACTTGTTTTATTTTTCTTCAGCTTCAATTCCAACTTGCATATTAGTAATTGCTGTTCTGCTACACAGAAAGATGATGGCCTAGTGTTAGCTGGTTATATTGAACTTCTCCATTATGTCTTTCCATAGATGTAGTCCATTGATTTCTGTATAAACCATCTAGTGAGATTCACATGTATAATCACTGTTGGTGTTGTTGATAATAGGTATTTGCAAGGAGAATATTGTTGGCCTTTCAAAATTATATCATCATTTTTTACTTGTTGTTGTTAACGTTTCAATTTTGCTTGCCAAAAATTGAAAAGAAATTCCATCAACATTTGTTCCTTGATTTAAGCTATATTAAGTGGCATTTCTGCACCAATAGACCATTCAAATCCAGTTTTCTTTCAGTGCTAACAGATATTGGAAATTTTGTTTGCTCACACCTGGCCTTTCTCAGATTTCTCAAGCCATCATTTTCCACATTGGCCAGTTCCCTCCCTTCTCAGAGGCCTAAAGGTTGTTTAAGTCTCAGATTCATTTTCCTCCTCTTTTCAAACATTTCCAAAGCGCTCCACCTCCATTACAAAATATTTTCATCTCATCTATGTCATCCTTTTAGTCACGTGTTTCCCCAAACACGAGTTGCCTATTTTTTTAATTATCACTTACACAAATGACTGGCACAATATTCAAATTGCAAGGAAGACCATCTGAAAGCTTCTGAAGTAACAGCTCACAGTAAAATTGTATCTATCAGAAACTCATGCTTGGGTCAAAGGCAAATTGTACCACTCACCTTCACTGTTTCTTCTGTTACATTTTTGTCAACTTTGGATGCAGCACACTGGTTCATCCTGTGTAAGAATGCCTGCACAAAACAGGAAAGGGCAGTATGAAGTTCACATTGGGTATTTGAATCAGAATCGCTTTATATTAGGAGCAAACTCTGGTGATTGATCAGAACCTTTTGTTTACTGGGAATAAAAGTTTAACAATCCAATTGTTGAGAATAAAAATAATTTGTCATACAACATGAAATCTACTCGGTATTGGTGCTGGGAATTCGTTACCATGTTCTGGCAGAGTGTAAACTTTAGAACCCAGTATATAAGAAAGAAATTCATCTACCAGGATACCAAAAGTATATCATAAGATGTTCTTCTAAGAAAAAATTTCTAAGGCTTGTAAAGTACAAAGGGAGCAAAACAGATTCTTTAAAACAGTACTTCTAATAAAAAAAAATTAAGGGGCCATAAATTCTGAATTTGCATCCTTATAACTGAGAGAGCTGTGTGTGTGTATGGGGGGCGGGGAGGGGGGGGTTGTTGATTTCCATGACTGCTAAGAATCATTTCCAAGATTGACCCCTTCCTGGAAGAATTAGAGAATTTTCTTTTTCTGCTATCCTTTGGTTTGAGGAAGGCAGGATTTGTATTTCAGAGCCTTTCATAGTTCTATTGTTAGGTAATTAAGTTCACTACTATTGTTAACATTTCTATTATTTTAAAGATAGTTTTGTTGGAATGTATGTCCACATGTTATACGATATAATCACTCATCCACATTAAGATCTATGCAATCATCATGACAATAAACTTCAGAACACTTTCTTTTCATACTCATTTTTGTTTATGCCCCATTTCCCCCATCCTCCCCTGCCATGACCCCAGGCAATTATCAATCCAATTGATCTACCTCTCCTGAATTTCATATACAGAAATTTATAAAAAGCACAAACAAAAAGCAAACAAACACACATCGACCAAAAAAACAATGATTAGACAAAACATGGATAAACCTCATAAAAAAAAAACA